ACAGTTTGTAGATGCGGTGCGTTATAGGCCCAACAAGGGCGGCCGCCTCTAGGAGGTTGGGGATGATCCAACAGTGATCATTGCAGCTATGCTGCCATGCAACTGCATGCCCTAGACGCTGAGCGAACTGGACTTTCGCTGCGTGTGCAAGTGCAAGTGCTACTGCTACTGCTACTGCTACTGCTACTGCTACTGCTACTGCTACTGCTCATACATACTAATACTAATACCAACACAAGTACTACATGTAATACTAGTACTAGTACTCGTGTTAAAACCAATACTGACACTAATACTCAATACTAATGCTAATATCTAATTCCAATATGAAGACTAATACTTCAGGCTTTTATCTTTTGAGTTTATCTGCCCCATGCAGCGGAAGCTCCAAGCCCTGAAACCTCATAACCTCTATCCGAACCCTGGGACAGGCGGCATGAGCGCTGCGATTCAATTCGGGTTTAGGGTTTAGCTGCGACTACAGTTTAGGGTTTAGCTTTCAGGTTGTAGGGACATTGGAGACTTTACAGCCTAACTTGCACCCTGAGCCCAACAAGATCTGAAACATCGACAGATCGACATTCCAAAAAGACTGAATATTTCGAAGCTGGAAGCCAAAGCCCCAACTGCACCCGAAAGTCCCGTGTCCCGACCCCTCATCAAGGGAACCCTGAACCCTTAAACCCCTAAATTCCTAAACCCTAAACCCCTGAACGCCGAAACTGCCAAATCCTAAACCCCTAAACCCCTAAACTCCTAAACTCCTACTCCTAAACTCCTAAACTCCTAAACTCCTAAACTCCTAAACCCCAACTGCAAGACCGACATCGTTGAAGAAGCTGGCTGCAGCTCGATAGTTTAAGCTTTGGGTTCCAAGCCCCACATTAGAGATGCTATGGATTGAAAGCCGTACCACAACATATTATACCAAACTGTACCATACCATACTAGACCGTACCATGCTATACTATACCCTACCATGCCATACTATACCATATATACTACACTATACCGCACTTTACCACTGCCATACCATACTATACCATACGATACGATACTATACCATACTGTACAATACTATAACATACTATACCACACCCTACCACACCATGCCACACGATACCATAAAATGCTGTACGATGTATACCACACCATACTATATTATACCATGCCATACCATACTATACCACACAAGACTATACAAATCCATCCTATACTATACTCTACTCTACTCTCCTCTGCTCTACTCTACTCTATTCTACTCTACTCTACTATACTATACTATGCTATGCTATGCTATGCTAGACTATACCATACTTCACCAGACTATACCATACTATACCATACTATACTATACTATACCATACTATACTATACTATACTATACTATACTACACTATACTATACTTTACTATGCTATGCTTGATTGTACCATATTATATTCTACTGTACCATACTATACTCTACTATACCATACCATGCCACTATACCATACCACACCATGCCACACCATACGATACCAGACTATACTACATCTTACTTCACTATACCATACTATACTTTATTGTGCCATCCTATATTCTTCTAGACCATACTACACTATACCATACTATACTGTACTGTGTTTTACTATACTTTACTAGACAATACAATACTATACTATACCATACTATGCCATACCATGCTATGCCATACCGCGCTATACTCTATTGTACTGGGTTATATGCTTTTCTCTATTTTTCGATTCCATGATATTATTCAACGGGCCTGCCGAGGTGGGTTCCGTCGACGTCCTCGCAGGGCAATGTGGTGTGGGTCCGAAGGCATAGGGTGTTGAGGGTTTAGGGTTTTAGGGTTTGGGGTTTGGGGTTTAGGGTTTAGAGGTTTAGGGTTTAGGGGTTGAGGGTTTCGGGCTTAGGGCGTCGGGTGTGGGTTGAGGTCAAGGTGTCAACCCTACACTGCAGGGCGTGGGGTTTAGGGTAAAGTGTGCCCTAAGCCCTGATCCCTATACTGAACTACCACTCAACTCCCTAGAGCCTCAAAATCCTGATCCTACCAAACCCCAGACCTAGACCCCCAAAATCACCACTGCTGTTGATGATATCAATCCTGCATTACTTTAAGGACCTTGAACTATGGGAACTATGTTACGTTCCTTGTTATGGGTAATGAAGGATTTACATCATCAGCCGCAACACCAGCCTGAGTTCCACCGTTTCGGGGCTGATTTTGGGCTGGAGTTCGCTGGGAAATCTCAGAGGTCCGCCCATGATGAGGGTGTTGATTTCGGCTTCATCAAGTCTCTAAAGGTAGGCTTTTGGGGTTAAAAGCTTTAGAAGGATTCTGGCTGGTTCTATAGTGCCTCTATAGGGTTTCCGAGGGTTCATTATGGGGGTTTCGGAAGGGTCTCGTGACGATTTACTGAGGCGTTTACAGGCTCTTTGCAAGGGGTTTCTAGGGTTCGCTGTCCTGAGGCTTTGGGGATTTCTGGGTGTTCTTTAGGAGCTATTTTTTCATAATGGCCCATAGTTTTCGAACCTACGGTCCCTGACCTCCCTTGCTTGGGATGTCTGTAGATTCGAGATATCGGGGTCGAGGGTTGAGGGGCCAGAGCTTCAGGGACTTGGGAGTTTAGGGTGTGAGCCTACTAAACCCTAAACCCCAAAGCTTTCTTCAGGGACGCCGGAGTTTAGGGTGCGGGGCTTCGGAGTCTTCTTTTGGTGTCTGGGGGTTTGCGCTTTAGGGTGGAAGGCCTCGGGGATTTGTGTGTTGAGGGGTTTATCTGTGTATAGGGTTTAGGGTTTAGGGTGTGTAGGCTTGAGGATTTCGAGAGTCTGGGATTAGTTTGGGGCGTTTTGGGGCTACAGGGCTTAGGCGGGCAGGCCTAAAGCCCGCAGAGATAGACTGAAGCGTTCAGCCGACGGCAGCTGGAGCTGTGATTCCCCAAAAGCCACAGAAAGCCCTGAAAGCCCAACTGCGAAACTCTAAATCCCCTGAATCTAGACATTTTCAGGTGGGTAGTTACCGTTATAGGAGCCTTATGGAAGGTCTATGTACCTTATGGAAGCCTTTATAGAAGCCCTATCGACCCTAAACTCCCCACCTGTAGTCCCCTCTAACTGAACCTTCCGATACCAACTTCCCCGCGCGAACGCTTGAAAGCCCCAAATCCTGAAATCCCTGAGGCCCGAAAAGACGCAAAGCCTTCAACCGTCAACCCTACAAAACCGAAAGCATCGATGTTTAAACCTCAAGAGACAAAGAGAGCGAGAGAAAAGAGAACCCTAGACCCTAAACCCTAAACCCTAAACCCGAGAGACCTGCAGGTCCATTCCTGCGGCCCGGCTGGCATGGTCATGGACTACCTCCCCGGCCGCACGCTGGAGGAGGCTCCGGCAGTTCAGGAGCTCGCTGCTCTTTTTTCTCCGGTGAGGGTTTGGGTTTAGGCTTTAGGGTTTAGGGTTCAGGGTTTAGGGTTTAGGGTTTAGGGTTTGGGGACGGGGTCTTAAGTCTTAGTGGGTTTGTGTGGGGTTATCGAGTGTTGGCAGTCGGGAGGAGGCCGGCACGAATCATCTGCAGTCCATGTTCCGTTTTTCGTGGTCTACTTTGGGGTCTACTTGCAGTTTACGTCGTCCAGGGCATTCAGGGCTCCGGGGGCTTATGATTCCCCGAAGCCATATTACGAACCCCGAATACAATCTCTAGCGTAACCACCGCTTGTGAGAGCAGCGCCGAGCCCAGCGCAGCACCCCGGGTCCAGCTCAGCCCAGCCCAAGATTACCTTTTCAACCGAAACGGGACCCTAAACCCTAAACCCTCGGACAGTGTGTTGGGTTATTTCAGGCGAGAGGCTTGGGGTCGGGTTTAGGGTTTAAGGTGTCGGGTTCAAGGGTCCAACGTTGAATGAGAAGTCTGTCCAGAGCCAAACCCTCCACAAGCTTTCTCTAAAACTTAGGTTCACCGAAAGTCGAAGGGCCCAGACCAAGCCCACGCCCTCCCGTGGCCCGAAGCCCAAGATCAAAAACCCTAGCCCCGAACACCTGGCACCCGAATCCTAAAACCACACCCCTAAACTCCGGCCTGAGCGCCGCCGCCTTGTAAGCGGCGGCGGCCAAAGCGCCCCTCTTGCGACTCACTTCCATCCCGGGCTGTATGCCTACCACGGAAAAATACAGCTAGCACGTATGTGGCACCGCTCGTTCTCAATAGGGACAGTAGGCCAGTTTTCGGGCGGACGCCAATAATGCTATATTGCGGCAAATACCCTGAACCCTGCGCGCTTGATCCTGGGGTGCGCGCACGCAGGGTGCACTTTCTGGTCTATCTGGCAGTTTGGAAGGGTCTTGATTTTGGCAAAAGCGGCGGCGAATGTCACGAGGATTCAGCATTTCGGCGGCTCCAACCGGAAATTTGTGGTTGATTTTCTGGGCTGCCTCCATTTCGACGGCTCCGACGGCTAGAAGGAGTCCTCGGAGCATATTTGTTTGTGGCAATTTCGCCGAAAGATGGTTCTTTCGCAGGCGCCTCTCCGAGGTATTGGGTTTAGGGTGTAGGGTTTAGGGTTGAGGGTTCCTAAACCCTAAAACCCACATCCTCAACCCTAAATGGGTAGTTCTCTAAATTAGGGGTGCCTTTTGGGTTCCTTTTTTATAAGGGTGCCGTACTATAATGGGACCTAAAAGGGACCCTAGTTTAGAGAACTACCCAAATCCTGTCCTTCAAGGAACCCTTTAACCCTAAACCCTAAACNNTAAACCCTAAACCCTTTAACGCCAGGCCGACGTGCACTCCGGCAACCAGCGGCTCCTCGAGGCCATCGCGGAGCGGCTCAGCGAGCTGCACAGGCCCAGGGAGCTGGGGCTTCGGAGTTTTCGGGGGGGGGGGGGGGGG